CACTAGGCTAATCCTCCACCTTGCGGTGCCGGCACACCAGGTTCTAGTCCCAGTCGGGCGCCGGATTCTGTCCCGGTTGCCCCTCTTCCAGGCCAGCTCTCTGCTGTGGCCAGGGAAGGCAGTGGAGGATGGCCCAGGTGCTTGGGCCCTGCACCCCATGGGAGACCAGGAGAAGCACCTGGCTCCTGGCTTCAGAACAGTGCCATGCGCCGGCCGCAGCGGCCATTGGAGGGTGAACCAACGGCAAAGGAAGACCTTTCTCTCTGTCTCTCTCTCTCTCTCACTGTCCACTCTGCCTGTCAAAAAAAAAATATTTTAGTGAATAATAAAGTTCTTACTTAAATTTGATACACACAAGAGTAAGAAAACAATTTGAAAACAAGATTTTTTCTCAGCCAGCGCCGCAGCTCACTAGGCTAATCCTCCGCCTGTGGCGCCGGCACACCAGGTTTTAGTCCTGGTTGGGGCGCCGGATTCTGTCCCGGTTGCCCCTCTTCCGGGCCGGCTCTCTGCTGTGGCCAGGGAGTGCAGTGGAGGATGGCCCGGGTGCTTGGGCCCTGCACCCCATGGGAGACCAGGAGAAGCACCTGGCTCCTGGCTTCGCATCAGTGAGGAGTGCCGCAGTAGCCATTGCGGGGTGAACCAATGAATGGTAAAGGAAGACCTTTCTCTCTGTTTCTCTCTCTCACTGTCCACTCTGCCTGGCAAAAACAAAAACAAAAACAAACAAAAAAACAAGATTTTTTTCTGTCATTTGAGAGGAGACACTTCCAAAGAAGCCAGCATGTATCCAAATGAGATTGTCTTTTTCCAGTAAAACCCCCAAATATAATTTTCACAAAATGCTTATGGCTGCCCACATAAAAGGAGCTTCCCACTTTGTGGTCCTCACTCTAATAGTCACTGTGTTTCCCTCCCCTCCCCTCCCCTCCCCTCCACTCCCCTCCAGTCCTCTCCTTTCCCCTCCCCTCCCCTCCCCTCCCTCCCTTCCCCTCCCCTCCTCTCCTCTCCTCTCCTCTCCTCCTCTTTCTCTCTCTCCCATTCTTTCCCCTACTCCTCCTTGGCAGCTGATTTGAAATTCATCTTGTTGGCCTTACTTTCTACTCTCTAATTATTGATTAACCCTAGGCTTTTGTCATTTCTGTCTTCTCCTTGCCCATCCATCCTACATTCTGTGCTTGACAGTCCCACTCACCTCTGTCCTTCCCCTATTGCCCCTACAATGTATAATTCACATATTCATATCATGAGACCATACCCATTTTCATAATATCAGATACTGGGCATCTTGATATCATTTGCTCAGGAAAAGTTTCTGTCAATATGTCCAATACACGTCCTATTTTTTTTCTTCTAAGTATGCTCCTATATATGTTTTGATGTAATTAAACTAATTGTCATTGTTCTCTAAGTCCTTTCTCAAACTCAATTTCAATTTAAAATTTCTATATATTCCTTAAAGCATCTTCAGTATTAATTATACCCACAAGCAACCCACATTATTATGACTTAATAGATTATTTTGATAATCATCTTAACTGTTACCTTTGGCTCCATTATATATTCCCAAACATAATTCTTTGACCATTTACAATCATTGAAAAAAAAAGAGTTAAAAAATCACCACCGTTTGTGAGTAGTAATACAAATAAATAGCTTAATATGATTTATAGGATGCTTTATTTCATCTGATTCAGACCCTCTCAATGTGCAAACTGAACCATAGTAAACTCTAGCAGGACTTGTAATAGACATATTTGACCATAAGGTGGCAATAAAGAATTGCTGTTTAGACTAACAACTTAAAAAATGTGGTTAACTTCTCATATACTAGCAGGTAACTAATGTTCTAGGAACTGCAGGTTTTTTCATCATTTAACATGATAGTATTCTTCCCAGGAAGCTGAAACATCTGAACTTATGCCAGGCTTATTACTTTTTTAGGTGTCACATTGGATCGTAGAGCTGGGAATATTTTTAACTAAGGAAATGTTACTGACTAAAGAACTAAATGTTAAACTAATTCTGTGTAGATTGTGTTTTTCTGATTAGTTCCCTTTTACCCAGCGCCTCCCCCTCCGGAATTTTATCAATTCAAAGGAAAAAAACCTCAGTAGACTCTTTCATACATTTTCCAAACAAAAATTAGAAATTATTTGGGTATAGACCTGTGGAAGCAGACAAAATGGTTCCTTGTTATTTGATAACATTCAAACAATAAGACAAACTTACATTAATTCTCTTCACTATTTTTATATTATTAATTTTCTTTAAAATTAGTTATTTTTATTACTATTATTTTACACAGATCAGAATAGTATATACATAATATTTTGAGACATGTATAAAGTACAGAATGTTTAAGTCAAGTTAGTTAACGTATCACCTCACTTAGTTTTGATGATAAGATATTTGAAATTATTCTCTTAGCTGTCATAAAATATCAGATATTTGTACATTATAGTCATATTGCTATGCAACAGAACTCGTAAAATTATATTTTCTGTCTAACTGAAATGATGTACCCTTTGATCTCGAAACCTCAGTCTCTGGTAACCAGCATATGCTGTACTATAGTTCTCTCAGTTTTACCTGTTCAGATTTCATCTGTAAATGTTTGCCTTTCTGTGCCTGGTTTATTTCACTTAATATACTGACCTCTATGTTCCTCCATGCTGTCAAAATTGACAGAATTTCCTTCTTTGTCAGGGATGAATAGTATTCCATTGTGTTTGTGTACCACATTTGTTTATCCACCCATACACTGACAGACTCTTGGGTTGGTTCCACATCTTGGCTACTGTGAATGGTGTAGCAATGAACGTGGGAGTGCAGATGTTTCTTTGACTTGCTCATTTCATTTCCTTTGGGTTTATCTCTAGAAGTCAGATTGTAGAATAATGTGGTAGATCTGTTTTTAGTTTTTGGAGAAACTTCCATATTATTTCACATAATGTCTATACTAATTTACATTACCATTCAGAGTATATAAATGTTTCCTTCTCTAACACTTGTTTTCTTTCATCTTTTTGATACTAGCCAGCATAACAGGGATGAGGTAATGCCTCATGTGATTTTAAATTGCATTTCTCTAATGATTGGTGGTATTAATTAATCACCTTTTTATAAACATATTGGCCATCTGTATGTCTTCTTTTGAGAAATGTCTGTTCATGTCACTTGTCTATTTTAAAAATTGGGTTATTTGTTTTCTGGCTATTGA